TATAAATTATGGCTTGTCTTTCAAGCTCCTTCCTTTTTGAGCAGATGTATACTGATACCACTCATTTTTAGCCACTTCATTCCCACTTGGGCTCACATAACAAAGCAAAATCAACTTTTGATTTAAACAGGAAGAACAAAGAAAGAGTGATTTAATTACCGAAGGATTTGAAGGTGATGGCTGTGGCGGTGCTATCAGTGTCACAAGGAGAAAAATGTTAAAAGGCTTCAAATTTCTTGCAACCATTGAACTGCCCCTCAGCCGTGTTCACAATCCGACCAACCACCGTTAATACCGTTCTCCACAGTCCTTGAAGACAAACTTATTTTCTATCAGAACTAGAAAATTACCCCCAAAAATTTATAGAAAGGATACCACTCATTTTTATCTACTTCATTCCCACTTGGGCTCACATAACAAAGCAAAATCAACTTTTGATTTAAACAGGAAGAACAAAGAAAGAGTGATTTAATTACCGAAGGATTTGAAGGTGATGGCTGTGGTGGTGCTATCAGTGTCACAAGGAGAAAAATGTTAAAAGGCTTCAAATTTCTTGCAACCATTGAACTGCCCCTCAGCCGTGTTCACAATCCGACCAACCACCGTTAATACCGTTCTCCACAGTCCTTGAAGACAAACTTATTTTCTATCAGAACTAGAAAATTACCCCCAAAAATTTATAGAATTTGAAGGACCCAAAAGTACTATTTTAAGTTCTTGATAGGGGTGGGGATGGGAGAGGGAGACGGAGTGGGGGAAAGATGAAGATGATTTTTCTTTTTCTAATTTAATTTATTTTGAATTTTTTTAAAAATGGGAATAAGGTTGCAATTTTTTTCCCTTCCTTTTTATTTTATTTTATTTAAATATAATAGTATATTTTTTATTTTACAATTTTTAATTGAAAATTTCGATAAGAATTGATGAAAATAACGTTTTCTATAATGAACATGGAAATGAGGGTAAAAATGTAAAAATTTGAAATGTAAAGACGTTTTACACATTATGAGCCAAAAGTAGGGACGTTTTGTGCTAATAAGCAAGTCAAATAAATAAAAATCTATTGAAGTTTGCAAGTAGAATTAACTCGTATGTGCCTGCAGTGTTCATGACAAAAAAGCTCCTTCATTAAAAGTTTGATATGAATGATTGGATAATAATAAATAATTATAAAAAAATATATTAATTTTTTTTTTCATTTTAGTGTCGAGTATTATATATCATGCAGGTTACTCAGGATCGATCATTAGATTTTGGCGTATCTTAGACCAATTTCAAATATTAAATCCTTGTTATACTTCAAAAATTGTTCAAGTTTATCATACCAATTCTTCAAATAATTATTATCTACTGTTTGAAATTTTTATGAATCAAACAAAAATTCAAGGCTATTTTTATGTTTTTGACATTGTTCAAACCTTAATTTAAGTGAAGAAAGAGTTTGATCAATTAGATATAAGAAATAATTAAATATATAAGATTGTTCAATTGAATGTGTTATCTGATCATTTGCATTTTTATCAAAGTACTTATTTTTATGAATAATAAATTTTTCATGAAATGTAGGTTTAACTTTATTTAAGTAGTAATTTCTTTAGTAGTAGTTGTTTTGTTCAAATCTCGTTTCTCTATATGTTCTAGATTTGAAATAAGTGCTTTCAAGTGGACAATAGTAACATTAATGAACGTTTTCACTTTCCAACATTTTGCATACACAATTAATAGCAGAAAATATGTTGTGTCAAATAACCACTTCAAACAAAAACTCAAATCCTTAATTTCATAAGATAAACTTTAAGTGTCTCTAAATACATTAGGGTCATTACATGTTTTCACCAAGTGTTTTTAAAGTGATTTATGTCTGACGCTTTAAATCATGTTACTTTAACATTTTCAACTTGACTTTTCAAATGTGTTTTTGATAGTGGCTTAAGTGTCTTATAAACATAAGTTAGAGAATATATAGAAAGTTTAATTTGATGATTGCTAAACAAGACAGAGAAAATAAAATAAAAATTAAAAAGTCAATTTGATGAGTGCTAAACAAGACAGAGAATATAAAATAAAAATTAAAAAGTCATGTAACAAACATAATAAATAACAATGAGAAAAAAGAAAGAAAAAGAAAGTAGAAAGAAATCGAAGAGCAAGTAAAAAAATAAAACGTCACGAATATAGTAAAAACTATTTTTACACTTCGAAGAAAATAAAATCTTTTTTTTTTAGATTTTTTATTATTATTTATAAATATATAATATTTATTTGGAGCAATTGATCGTTTGATTTCCCACAAAATAAAGTATCGTTCCCACGAAAAATATATATTCAATCTAGGATCAATTAATTCTAACTCTAATCGAATAACCAAAATTTTTTTGAACAGTTTAGATTTATTAACTAACTAAACTAGCAATGCTAATAAGCAAATTATGAGCTTTTGTAAATTTAGATTGGATGGCTACTAAAACCTAGAATTCCCCTTATTAATCGATTTTAATGTAAATTAATGAAATGACAATATGGGCACATTCTTGTTGATTAACATTCCTAAGTTAATTAAAAATATATCTCGATGTCAATTAAATCTATTCTCTCATGTGATCTTTATATATCTATATGAAAGATGTAAACATAAAAGCATGTGTTAAAAACACTACAACATCTATATAAAACCATGTAAAGTATAGTCGTATATCTTTATTCTTTATTGGACTTTATAATGGTTCTTATAATGTGCTATTAGTTTTATCATTTCTCTCGAAATTAATAAAATTCACAATCAACTAATTAGTGATCAAGTAATTAAAAATGCATTAAATCCTGTAATAATCATCTAAAAATGATCACAAATGGAAGTCAAATTATTGAATTTATATTAAAATATCATACTAAAGATTCATCATTAATGTCTTAATAATTGAAACTCTAGTTTAGTACTACAAAATCACAAGAAATCATAATTAATTTTAAAAACAAAACTCGGATCTCCACTATATCTTCTTGTGTGTTTCCCAAAAACCTAGGTTTGATCTTCAATTGATTCTTGTTTTCCCTAAAAGTCTGATGAATTGGCATCTCTTTGATAATGTTAATTGATTTTTCTTTCTTTCTTTCTTTCTTTCTTTCTTTCTTTCTTTCTTCTTCTTCTTCTTTTATTATTATGATTATTTTTAGTATGAGGGATTCTTCACGTTGGCTGCCCATGTTTAGTATTTGTAGAAGTGAAATTTGGTCAAAAATCATATAAGAAAGTGGTTTCCGTGAAGAATTTTAGAAGCAAAAGGAAACAGGCTCAGGGGGCCCCCAAAATTTTTTTTTCCCATTTTTTTTTTAGGTAAAACCCACTAATTAACGTAAAAGAATACTCCCATAATTGAGATGTTTTGTAAATATCTTTTACGTTAAGTTTTAAGTTAACAATTGGTTGTATAGTACACCGTTGGATTTTGATTTACGTTAATTTTGGGGGGCCCAATTTATGGAGTTCGCCTCGGGCCCCCACAATCACAAAATTGGCCCTGGGTTGCAGGTTCCATATTTGGCTTGGTCGGTTCCTAGGTAAAACCCGGGCACTCGTTCAAGCAATGCTTTGAACTGTTGTTTTTGAAACTTGATGCCGAGCAAGTGACTGGCTTTTATAATTAGGTGGTCGCCCAGTTATAACGTCTTTCAAACTTTGCATTTTGGTCATTCGTTTCATTCTCTTTTCAATTTTTTCGATCCTTCACTTCCTATTGCACCTGTTTTGGTCATTCAGCTTCTATCTGCATTCAATTGAACCTGTAAGATCTTCAATCTTCATTTTATGGTCCAAATTAACTATTGAAATGGTGCAAATTAGTTTGTATACTTTGCTTTTTGCCCTTTTTTTTGGTTGTCAATTTTCAATTTTTTTTTTCAATTCCTCTTCCATTCATCGAGTTTCACCTAATAAATAAAATATATAATGAAGGCATAATTAATCAAAAAACTTCAAAATATTTATATTTAAAGTTCCGAATAAGTGTCTAAAATACAGTTATCAACCATCACCAAGATGGAACCTTAGACGATTGCCTACCATACTATACTCAGGGTTGGCATTGTCACCTTACCTGTAGAGGTCAAAAATTGTACTGATTGTTATTTTTATCATTAATAAAATATGCCACGTAGTATTGTAGAATTAAAAAAATAAAAAAAAATACATGCACATGCCTAAATTATAAACTATTCCATATTATTATGTCGTTCTTCTTCGTGGAAAACCGCCAGCGACATTGTGATATATGAAGTTGTCACGAAAAAAGAATTGAAAATGCAAACCAGACTGCATATGGTGAGTTCCACGTGATTGGAACTGTTAGATAATGCACTTGCTAGCAAAGCTTCAAATAAAATATTCCTAAAGCTATAGAATTTATAAGTTTTAAATTAATTAAAAATTAAAATTTTAAAAACTATAAGAAAGTTGGTCTGACTTGACTCGACACATTCTTTGTATACATCATAACAGACCTCAAGTTTTTGAATAGATCAACACGACCCTACCCATAATAAAATATAAAACGTGCCAAGTTTACAGTAACAATTTATCTCACTTTCCGCCTCTAATAGTGTTATGAGAAGCTTCTTTGAGTAACCAATTTGTTTCTTTTTAATACTCTCATTCTTGATCTTGCTTTCTTCCCTCATCTTTCCCAACAATCCATGCGATAAACCTTTACTAAATTAATAAACAACTCCCATTATTGTAATATCAATACTTGATCTTGTAAAATCCCAAAAATCACTTTTCTTAAAAAATTAATTAAAACAAAAATACTACTTGGATTTATTAAACTTTAAATAAAGCATATATTTACTTGTCTTTTGATCTTTTCTGTAGGCCCAATCTCCTTACACTGTTATCATTCCCCTCCACACGTCTCTACTAAGTCATGTAACTTTCTGTCCACAGTCCATACCTTTCCTGTGAAACTTGTATTTATACCCAATCTTTCAATTGAATTTTGAACATAGAATTTAATATCAGAGCTCAAACCCATTTTCCCTATTTTGCAATCATCTTGTGCTTTAACTAAATTGTCTGCCCGTCTCATAGTGTAATGGAGATGAACAAACCATTTCTTGTAGTTTTGTTCATACAATCCATTTATGCTGGCTATTTCTTGCTTTCAAAGGTTGCTTTTGATGTTGGCTTGAACCCATATGTTTTTGTCTTCTACAGACAAGCTGCTGCAACTGTTTTCTTAGCTCCGACTGCTCTGTTTTTCCAATGGTACCATCTTATTTGTATAAATTATATTTTCAACACCTACCTTCACGTGCAGGCCAGATTCAATTTTCATTGAAGGCCTTGCAAGCACATGGACAATCTTTATAAGTGTAGCATGAGGATCAATGTTACTTCTTCGCTGAATTTTATTTTACAACTTTGGAACTTATATATACGCATTGAAATTTCTTTGTTCGGATTGTAGGAAAACTGCTCCTCCATTGTCATTCACCATTTTCATCAAGATTTTCTTGCTCTCCCTTTGCGGGTACGTTATATATTCCATAATCTTGTGTAATGGGCTACATACAAAATTTTACTGAATGCTTTGTTATGAGTTTTTCCAGCACTCAAGTGAAGGCATGAAGTTTCTTCAGTTAATTATGAAGATCTTGGTTGGTTTTATTGCAGGATAACTATGAGCTTGGATATTTTTGGTGTTGCTTTGACATATACAACGGCATCTTTGGCCGCTGCTACAATTAACACACTTCCAGTTATTACTTTCTTCCTTGCAATTTTATTCAGGTAATCAAGATCATTCGATTTAATTTATTTGTTCATCCCAACTTTCTTTTGTTTGGTTTCAATTTCTCATTCCTTTTTATATTAGAGATGTTCTTAATTCGTGTATATGAATATTTCATAATGATTAATCATATTTGCAGTCGCTCATTAACATAGTCACCCTACGTGACATACATGTGGCGGTTAGTGAGTTGATACACTAATGTGATAGTTTTTTATTGTTTCACGCATCAAATCATTAATCGCTACATGTATACCACGTAGAGCAACTGTGGTAGTGAGTGATTGCAAATAGCATTATTCTTTCACAATAAATAATGTTATTTACAGTTACTCACTATCGCAATCGTCCTAAGTAACACAGATGTGACAGTTAGTGATTTGATATATGTGGCAAGAAAAAATTACCAAATTAATACATGAAATCACAAATCGCTATGTAAGATGTCACGTAGAGCGACAATCGCAATGAACGACTGGAGTGGAGAAATATGGACTATATATGTTGGCTGTAAAGGAATTAACAGGCAAGGAGTCACTGTATTTATGGCCATTAAGCACCATTAATCTAACTGTTAATCTTTTCATTAACGCATGCATAAGTCAAAAGTTTCAATAGTTGAAGGTCAGTCGGAGTAAGCAAAATGTAAACATTCCTAAGGGCCTAATTTTTTATCTATTCAATTCAGAATTTGTGCTCGCAGATAGCGTCTGTACACAAGTTCAAGATCCAATGTACAATTTTGATCCTTAATTTGCATCCCATGTACGTGCACATAGAGAGAGCCTTTATACCACACATTATTACACTATAGTGGCTTGGCTGGACTCATCTACCCACGAGCTCGTTCAAGCATGAACCAGGCTCAAGCTTGGCTCATGCTCAAGGATCGAACTCGGCTTGGCCCACGAGCTTGTGAGCTTATGAGCTCAAGATTTTTTTAAAAATTTTTGACTTTTTTGGCTCACATTTTTACTAGCCCACGAGCCAAACTCGTGGGCTCGTGAACTTTAGGCTCGTGGGCCGTGTCCACGAGTCGTTCGTGAGCCCAACGAGCCTCTCGTTGAACAAACCCCTGCTTGGCTCGAGCTTGGGCTCGTCTTGAGCCATCCATGGACCGAGCTTTGACTAGTCGAGCCAACGAGCTACTGGACCCTTTTGTCACCACTAGATTACACCCTTCCAATGTATAACCATTTATAAGGTGGTCATTACTTTTATAATCTTCATACGTGGGACAAACTATATATAGTTTTCCTTCCACACACCATGTTTCATACGTGGGACAAACTATTTGAACTCCCAAGTTTCATGCTATGGAATTGCCTTTGTAAACTCCTTCAAATCACCAATTTTGAGCTTCAATTTATCATTCAACCGATTATTATTTTTTGGCAAGTAAATATATAATTTCGATATTCTCATAGAGAAGAACACGAATCAACTTCAATCTTCCAAAATGAATGGATGAATCCCACTCAAAATTATGCCAAAACAGCCCATCAAACCATTTTTTCCAACAATTTTCTCCCCTTGAAGGTATTCAATGAGTTATGCATTAGGACAAATTTTGCTTCCACTTTTTCAGGAAGCGAGCATTAGTTTAATAAATTCTGCTTGGTGTATAGGCAGTACTCCTATCGACACCTCGCATGGGAGTGGGTGGGTTAATTTTTGGGCATTGTTTATTTAAATTGGCCCACACCTTTGTGAGTTCCCTCTAAATATTCGGTCAAGAATAAATTTGTACACTCAGATTTATACTTAGTTTAATACCCCTTTCCTTGGAACAAAAGCCAAAGATTTGAAGATCAAGTTTAGATGCGCACAAACATTAAAATATTTCTTAAAACTCAAACAGTTACTAGTACCCACCAAAACTCCTCCTCCTCCTCCTCCTCCTCCTCCTCCTTATTATTATTATTATTATTATTATTATTATTACTAACATTTCCTAACAATCTCAAAGTCTCATTTTGCTTCAGTATGACATTTTAGGTTCAATATGACATTTTAGTTAGTTTCTTTTTTACTTCAATGCCGTTTAATGTTATCCTATGCAACTCTCTCATTCTATGATAGAAGAAAAATAATTAGATTAGAACAATATTCAATCGAGCAATGGTATTTGAGTGAAGCTACAAGTACACGACTTGTTTCACAAGTCCTGCCAGGCAAGAAACAAGTGGGGGTGGGACCCACAATTTTTTTAAAATACATGTGGGGCCCACCTCCAAATAGTGATGGTCTTGTAAAGCCACTGTGAAACCTGCACCTATATGTGTAGGTTTTTTCATGCTATTTAACACCATCTAGGTGACAACACTAGTGGACATAAATTACAAGTTCATTTAAATGAATCACATGATATCATATTTAATTGAGCATCTCACATAATACACATAGACTGGTGCTTAAGCACTATTGACACTAGATAACATTATTCTACTCAATAAGACAATAGACAAGAATTTATTTACAAGAAATAATTGGCGGGATTTTTTTTTTTTTTTTACAGTAAGTTGTTAATTAATTTATCATATTTTTAATGCTAATTTACCATAGCTTGATTTTAAAAAAACTCGATATTATTTAACAGGATGGAGAAAGTGAAGCTGAGGACCAGCCCAGGATTTATGAAAGTTTCAGGAGTTGCACTTTGTTTGGCAGGAGCAACAACCATTGCCTTGTACCGGGGCCCTTTCTTGAAACTTTTGTTACATCATCACCTAATTAAAAGCCACCACCAACAACTTGAAGGCCATTCTATTCCTTCTACTTTAACATGGATTAAGGGCGTCTCACTCATGCTGCTTTCCAACTTAAGTTGGGCGCTGTGGCTTGTATTACAGGTATCATCTTCGACTAAAGTTGAAGGGGTTAATAGGTTTGGTACTTTGGAATAGACTCAAGTATGCATCTCATGACTAATAATTTTATTTTTAATTAAATCTATTCAAGTGTACTAGACACTCCTTCAAATTCCACTGAGTGTCCAATTTGTGAAATTTTGAAGTACTACTACTTTCTTTCCCTTCTCTTTTATCTTACCAAGTTGAAAGGTTTTGTTATGTTTGTATGTTACGGTAGCTTGAACTAAACTTGATAACTAATCATTTTATGATAGGTTATGATTCAAGACTCTAGGTAAACATTGCATTTTGTCATAAAATGTCACCTTAAACATATCATTAATTCTCCTTGTACTAATTTTATTCCATTAACCTTTATTTCTTGTAATTAGTCTCCAATGACTAATCCTAAAACCATTCTTTTAACTGGTTTTCAGAATGTGTCGAAAAACTCGTAAAATTTATATGCATTTAGGATGCTCATTTCTCTTTTGAGCTCATTTTTTATGTTCTTTTTGATTATGGAACTGTAGGGCCATGTACTGAAAAGTTACCCTTCAAAGTTCCTCCTAACAACCCTACAATGCTTTTCGAGCACCATACAATCATTCTTTGTTGCTGTTGCTTTTGTAAGAGACCCGAATGAATGGAAACTTGGATGGGATGTAAAACTCATATCAATAGCCTACTGTGTAAGTAAAATATATCCTGACCATGTATTTCATTTTCGCGATTTACTTAAAATGAAAGCAAATATTAACTTTAGAGATTCGTGTGGGAATTATTTGATGGATGCCAACCTAACTAGCTGAGATGCACCACTCAGTTATTAATGACTAATTTCATATTTGAAAAAAAATATTAACTTCATTTTTAATGGATAAGTTTTTGAAGTTCAGTCTGCAGAATTATTTGGTCTAAAAGTTTTAGCTGTCAAATAGAAGATAAATTTATTTATTCAAATTGTGTTTTCAACACTCCCCTCATGTTTAGGTTGTATTATTTTTATTAAAAAACTTGATGCGTGCACAATTATTATACCATGTGTTTGTGTTAAGACTTGATAAAAAATTGAATTTAGCCTGAACGTAAGTTGAAGACCGCATGTAAATAAATATTTTTTATTTATTGAGTGGTTGGTTGGCACCCATCAATACTGCTTCAAGCCCCTTTTCCATGAGACGTGTAACCGCTAGTACCTCAGCTTCAAAGGAAATATTTCTCTCTTTTTTGCTAAGAAATAGTATTATCATGGAAAATGAAGGAATATTGTTTTATAATTGTAAGTTATGTATTCACTTGTGTTTTTATTCATATTCTTGACAGGGAATAGTGGTGACTGGTATTACATTTTATTTGCAAACGTGGGTCGTAGAGAAGAAGGGTCCTGTCTACCTCGCCATGACAACTCCATTGATTCTGATATTTACAACTGCTGCATCCACATTCCTCTTTGGGGAGATAATTAGTCTTGGAAGGTAAATAACTGTCTACCTTCATTACCATTAACCACATATTAATTACCTCCAAATTAAGGGCTATTCACCATTTCTTCAGTAAGTAATTTAAGAACTTCAATATATAGAAACATGTGCAAACACAACCTCTAACCACTGAAAGAATATAAGATTATATATGTTTTACCATACTTTAAAGCTGTTTTTTAAGCTGAATTTCTTTGAAAAATAGCCAAAAAATTAAGCTTGGTGAAACATGTAGTATAACAATAATCTAGTCTCTAGTCTGCAAGGAGCTGTTGTTAATTTCTTTTATTGTTGACCTTACTCTATATAAGATTATAATTTTATTTCCTTTTGCTTGCATTTCTAGTGTCTTGGGAACACTTTTTCTAGTTGGAGGACTTTATTGTGTGCTATGGGGAAAGACCAAAGAGGAAGAAAGGGAGAAGGGAATTTGTGCTGCAATAATTGATGCTGAGAAAGCCAATGGTGGAATAAAGGAAGAGATCACAACATAATTATATATACACAACTACCACATATCTGCATTTGAGTGGGGTAGTTTAAAATTCTTGTTTTGCCTCTTCAGGCATGGCATATGCTTCTCGATTAACGGCATGCGATTCATAGTAGTAGTAGGATCTAGGTATAGGATCCACACTTTTTCCCCACCTCGTGTAAAGTTAAGTTCTATGCTAAATTGGCTATTAATATATATCAATTTACGTTTTGTCTACATGTTGTTTCTTTGTGAATGACAATTTGAAGTGAAAAATACATTTTTTTTTTTTAAATGTGTAGTTAAAAATAGGAAACAAATCGGGTCTACTAGTAAATTTATTTTGGGAAAATGTTTGGTTGAAATAATTTTGTAATTTTTGAAAATTCATGGAATGTCAATAAAATTATTAGATAGTTAAGGATTCTATGCTAAATTGGCTATTAATATATATCAATTTACGTTTTTTTTAACATGTTGTTTCTTTGTGAATGATAATTTGAAGTGAAAAATACTTTTTTTTTTTTTTAAATGTGTAGTTAAAAATAGGAAACAAATCGGGTCTACTAGTAAATTTATTTTGGGAAAATGTTTTGTTGAAATAATTTTGTAATTTTTGAAAATTCATGGAATGTCAATATAATTATTAGATAGTTAAGGAGTTCTACTGTAATTTCTCCAACTTATAACTTAACAAAGCAATATAATCATCAAATACTTAATTATTGTTTTGATTCATCAATTTATTTATTTAAAATATTTTATTCTTTTAAAAATAATTTCTATCTCTTTATTATTTAGATTAATACTATGCAAATATAATTCTAAGAGTCCATATCAAAAAGTCTGAACTAATTTTATTAGTGAATAATAGTGTAACTATTTGATTTTATAAGTATATTATTTAATAAATTTCTGTACAATAAATACTGGATTAATTACTATCAAATTGTTATTAGTACAAATTATTTAATATATATATATATATATATATATATATATATTTTTTTTAGGTTCAAGTTGTTCAATTCTACAATGAATTTATATAATACTTTTTATAATAATTTATTTAGAGCTTGTATGAGCCTCATTTTTTGCTCAAAATATATTTTAGAATAGTATTTTGATTGAGAATGTATGATAAAAAAATAAGAAAAAGTTTTGAGTTTGCATATAATATTATTTTATTACAAATGTGACTAAAAATTAGAGAGCTAAAAATGCATTTTGATAATAATGGGGACCAAACAAGGGTTTTATAGTTTTATGGATAAAATCTTTCAAAGGACTTAAATTCTACATTAATCCAAGAAGGACATAAACATTTTTAAACACTCTCCCCTCCCTTCTTCCACTCTGTCTCGAAGAGTAACTAGGACCATTTAGTCACGTTTTCATGTTCCAATTGAATGCTTTCCATTTTTGATTATTTTCAAAGGAGTGGTAAGGCAACGGGTTTTGGTCCCGCTATTCGGAGGTTCGAATCCTTCCATCCCAGAGCCATATCCATTTTGCCCGCACTGTGTCTTTTTTGAGAGAAGAGGTCAACAAGAGGGCTAAGATGGTGATAGATGGCCAATGGGTGACATCAGGGTTAAAGAAAAAAAGGTGTATTTAGTTTGATGCTTTCAGTTTTACAAAACATTGAAAATATTTTTGGTTTGGTATTTTTGAAAATGAATTTTCAAAAACAAGGTTAAACTTGTAACGTTAAACTCAAAAAGTAATTTTGATATTTTGAATGTTTTTAATGAAAATTTTGAAAACACTCAAAACATGGAAAATAAGCATTTACATAAAATTTTATAAATCAAAAAATTAAAAATTTTCAAAATCGAAATATAAAGTTCTAGCAATAAAATTTTTAAAAATAACATTGATAAATTCAAAAAGATTTTAAAAATAATAGAATTTTTTTTAAAAATAATTTCTAAAAATCTAAAATTACTAAAAGACAAGTTATAATAATTTCTTCAAAATTAAAATTATAAAAGTTAAAAATAAAGATAGTTCAAACTCTTAATGATTACTAACAACAGAAATTTAAAAAATATATTTAAATTAATACAAATAAAGATATTCTCAATCCACGTCATTGATTTTGATTTGATTTTGTATGCTTTAAACTGAATTTATTAATTATTTTTATTTAACTTTTGGAACAAGAAATAATATTGTAAAATTCACCAATTTTAATGAATATATTACTTTATAATATATTTAGTAAGTGGAATTTTCAGGTTCAAATTTAATTATTGATTCGAACCAGTTCGGTTCTCTTTGAATATTTGGTTTGGTTCTATATCATAATTAATTTTCTAAGATTTATGACAACAGTATATTAATTCAACTAATGACATGTTCAATCTTAACTCTTAAAAAATAATGTAGTCCAATTTAAAAATATACAAATAATAAGTTGACTAATAACATCAATTCACCAATGTATACAAATTTTCAAAAAGTAAATGATAACATAAAATATCAGTGATTCCATCTCATTGATTCTTTTACTTTAAACTTTACAATTTATATAAAAATGAAATATAAATTAGAAGTTCTAGAGATAAAACAGGAAAAATTTAGTCACTCAATTTTGATGCTTTGAAATGTGAAGTACAAACTTAGGCTTGAGCTGAAAACATTAAAATGATATTTTGAGTTCAATTAATTAGTTGGCAAATGAAACAGTAAAAAGATATTTTTTTTGGATTCAATTAGTTGGCAAATTTATTTAGAAAATAGTTAAAATAGTTTGAATTATTTAATATAAAAAATTAAGAAAATTCGGTTCTTATTCGAATCTTGATTTAGAATCGAGAATTGAATAAAACTCGTCGATTTTGATACTCATTCGGATATTTAACTTAAGAAAAATCGAACAGAACCAATAGATCCTTTTCAGGATCCAGTTCAATTCAGGAGTTTTGTCCATGTGCCTCTGTTTACAATTTGCGTATATAATTGATGGTTTGATAAATATTTGATGGACAATTGTGAATAATGCCCTTAATTTTAAATTAGAAACATTAATTCATATAATAAAGATAGACAGAATACTAACATTAAAATCAAATTGATAATTGAATGTCAAAAGTATCAAAATAAATCAGTTTTCTAGATTTATTTCATATCTAAAGTGGATAGGATTCAAGAAATTGTTCATGAATTAGTAAGTAATTTGAAATCGAAAATATTTTGATTGTACTGGTTATAGTGTACGTGACAACTATGATATTTTTATTAAAGTCTTGTAATAATGTCACATTGAGATGTTGGTCAACACTAATTCACGGTTATATTAATTATAGGAAACTGTGAAGTATAGCAGTTGCACGATGAGAATAACAAAACGTTATACTAAAATTAGTGCGTGATTATATCATTAACTTTTTTCCTTCATATATCACAGCAAAACATTACCTACAAACAACATTAAAAAAAGTAACAAACAAAATAATGCCCACTATTGACTTCAAAAAATGTATCTCCAGATGGCCAACAGATACCGAAACCTCTCACGTGCAAACAAGCCGTATACCTGCACATTAGGACAAACCGTTAAACACACGTGACCTTCTTCAGTGGGGGTGGAGCAAGCCGCGCATATTCTAACGGTCAAGTCAACAGCCAGACGAAAAGAAAATAAAAAGTGCAAGAGACGAGAGAGGGAGTTTGGTTCGGGTTAGAATGAACGTACCTTGGAATGAAATGAAACCACATATATATAGAAAATGGAGATGGGCTGAATGCATTTATGGGCCTCGTCCAAGTCCAATAGTAAAGCCAGCATACAATAATTTATATGTATAATACCCACTGTTCAAATAATTTCTTCAATTTCAGTATTACTTCCTCAATTAGCCTCATCGAGTTTCATGTCTTTGAACATTATTTCAATAATGTATAGAAAACAAAACCCTAATTTGAAGGAAAGAGAAAAAATGGGAAGTTTGTTAAATAACCGGTCAAAGAATGTTATTGGTTAAATAGCCTTCAATCAATTTTTTTGGTCAAATAGCCTTCATTTACAAAATACAATAAACAAATAATGTCAAATATCATAAATACCCTAACTATTGAAAAAGACCCAAACACCCTTATCAATCCAATTAAATTCCTCAATTTAATTTTTGCCCCCAAAATCACAAAAACCCCGTTTTCTTCTCTTCAACTATTCTTACTACTTTAAAATCCTATTTTTCATTATATTCTTCAACTATTTTGGTATCTTTTGAACATTTATCATCTACATTAAAACATCTCATTTATATTTGAAGAAAAAGAAGAAGATAATTTTAGAAATCTTATGTAAATTGTACATTTATTATTGAATAATATTTCATTTGGTGTTGTATTTGTACTTAGTGTGTTTTTTGTGTTGCCTGCAACTATTGAATAGTAATGGCACTGCAACTGTTATTCGAAATATAGAACATCACTCCAGTCATTATCTGTTACGTAAAACGCCACTACAATCATTATTTACTTGGTTTATTTTTTTTTCAATGACACAACACTAATAATGTGCTTCTAAAGTAAATAACATAGAAAAATTGTCAATGTCACAAAGAAATGTAGAAATAACATAGTTTTTATATTATCAAGATGGTGAAATCACAAATTGTCCTACCCCTATGTTAATAAACCTATCTCTCAATTTTTTTGTATATATCATGTGCATATTACAACTTAAATAAGTTCAACTTATTATTTTTTAGGGACACGAATGGATCATGATTGCTTATAGTTGTGTTTACACCGATAACAGCACATGTGCCATTTTCATGTTCGGTAACGACGCTTGTACCGTTCAGAAGTTTTTACCTACACTTAATCTTTTTCAATAAAATAACCTCTAATAACGGACTCCATAATGTATGTAACATAGAAAGGTTGACCATATCATAATGAACGGTTGAAATGACATATTTTATATTATCGAAATGGTGAAAGCACAAGTCATCCTACTCATATGCGTCGATTAAGTTAATGAGCGTATCTCTTAACCTTTGTACATTTCATGTGCATATTACAATATAAATAAAATTCACTTATTATTTCTTGAGACACGAATGGGGCGTGACTGTTTGTATTCATGTTTACAAATAGAACGATACAACGATCGTTTTCTTCTCCATAAAGGCACTTATGTCGTTCCGTTGCATTTTCCAATATTTTGATTTATTTCAAGGAAAATACATCAAGCATTGGACCCTCGAACATAAGTAAAATGA